TAGAGATGGTGCCCAGGCTGGTGTCTAAGTCCTGGGCTCAAGTGATCCTGCCACCTTGGCCTCCCAGGACACTGGAATTATATGTGTGAGCCACCACACTTGCTCCATCTCTTAAGTTAGAAGTCATTCGTTGCCTTGAGAGGCTGAATGTAAAAAAATGTATCTCTTTCAAACCTAGCAAGTCCAGGTTCCTTTCAACTTTCTTATTTTAATTGTAAATTACATACGGTTACTTGACTTTTTCTGGCGTACAGTCCTGTGTATTATAACACATGTGTAGGCTCGGCGCCTATAGCTCAACCAGCTAAGGCACCAGCCATGTACACCTAAGGTGGCGGGTTCGATTCCCCAGCCCGGACCCGCCAAACAATAATGATGGCTGCAACCAAAAAAAAAATAGTCGGGCGTTGTGGCAGGCGCCTGTAATCCCAGCTACTTGGGAGGTGGAGGCAGGAGACTCACTAGAGCCCAGGAGTTGGAGGTTGCTGTGAGTGTGATGCCACAGCACTCTACCCAGGGGGACAGCTTGAGGCTCTGTCTCAAAATAAATAAATAAATAAATAACACATGTGTAGATTCATAAAACCCTGTTTGCAGTCAGGCCACAGACCTGGCCCCTCACCCCAAATGCCCCTTCATGTCCCCCCCCATCTCTGAAGCACTCTTCACTGTCACCATGCATGGAGCCACAGAATGGAACCTTCTGAGACTGGCTTATTTCATGCAGCATGAGTTCTCTGAGCTTGCCCCACATCCTCACAGGTATGTACCCAGGTCACTGTGGCTGAGAGTCCCCTCTTATTTACCACTGTGCCATATTCCACAGTGTCACTGTACCACACTGTTTATTTACTCTCTGGGTGATTAGAATAGAGCTGCTCTAAACGTCCATACACAGCGTCTTTTCTTTTTCTGAGCTCTGTTGTCCTGGGGAGAGAGTGGTGGCAGCAGCCCAGCTCACAGCAACCTCAAAGTCCTGAGTTCAAGCAATCCTCCTGCCTCGGCCTCCAGAGTAGCTGGGGCGCTACCGTGCTGGGCTCATACACAGCATTTTGTGTGAGCAGAAGCTTTCATTTCTGAAGGGTAAATACCAGTGAAATTGCTCGTTCCTATGGTAAATATAGGTTGAACCTGCATTCTTTCTATTTGACGGTTTACCCTAAGTCAGTTCTCTTCTCTTTTTATAGAGCGGCAGAAGCACCCAGGCGGCACCTTCAGCTTTCTCTCTGGGCATATCCTGAGCTAGATCATTTTATTCATTAGGCATATTTCCTAGTTTCTATTCAACTACAGGTGACAATGTTGCTAATCTTTCTGCCACTTTACAACAATGGTCTCCTTTCCTCCATCTTCTTCTTTTTTTTTTTCTTTTCTTGAGACGGAGCCTCAAGCTGTCCCCCTGGATAGAGTGCCATGGCATCACTGCTCACAGCAACCTCCAACTCCTGGGCTCAAGCGAGTCTCCTGCCTCAGGCTTCCAAGTAGCTGGGACCACAGGCACCCGCCCCAGCGCCTGGCCATTTTTTGGTTGCAGCTGTCATTGTTGTTTGGTGGGCCCAGGCTGGGGATTCGAACCCGCCACCTTAGGTGTACGTGGCTGGCACCTTAGCCGCTTGAGCCAAAGGTGCCGAGCCCTTTCCTCCGTCTTCTAAGAACATTTCCCTCACTTTCCTGCAAGTCCCCACTGTCCGCCTTGGCAAGAGTCCTAACTCCTGCCCACTGCCTGGTCTGACCACATGATGAGGCCTTTGTGTTGGCAGCACCCATTCCCAGGACTGATTACTATAGCTGCATAAAAAAGGCACCTTATGCCTGTAGTCCTAGCAACTTAGGAGTCTGAGGCAAGAGAATCACTTAAGACCAAGAGTTTGAGGTTGCTGTGAGCTGTGATGCGACAGCACCCAGAGGCACAGAGTGAGACTCTTTCTCAAAAAACAAACAAACAAACAAACAAACAAAAAAAGCCTCAAGCTCACTGCTGTGCAAACATTCACCATCATCTATTACTGTTGTCTCTCATATTGCTGGAGCTGGACTGGGCTCAGCCAGGTGATTCTTACTTGTGGTAGCTCATGTGGTTGCTTGGTGGTGGCTGAGGCCAGCGCCACCTCAGAGATTTCCTCCCTTGCTGGTCGGTGCTCAGTGCTGGCTGTTTGACCACTTCTGGTGGGGCTGCTAACCAATGCATGTGGCCTCTCCTGCTGCTGTGCGTCCTCACAGCTGGCTGGCTGGGTGCTAACCATAAGTGTCCCAAGATGAGGGAGGAGGATAGCTGTGTCATCTATGTAACATGACCTCAGAAATCACACAATGTAAAAAAAAAAAAAGTTCCCAGCTACTTGGGAGGCTGAGGCAGGAGAATCGTCTAAGCCCAGGAGTTGTGAGCTGTGACTCCACAGCACTCTACCAAGGGCAATAAAGTGAGACTCTGCCTCTAAAAAAAACAAAAAAAGTTGGCTCAGCGCCCATAGCACAGTGGTTAAGGCACTGGCCACATGTACTGAGGCTGGCGGGTTTTAACCTGGCCCTGGCCAGCTAGACAAAAATGACAACTGCAACAACAACAAAAAAGAAATCACACAATATCATTCCTGCCACATATTGGATTGAGGCGAGTCACTAGAGCCAGCTCATGTGGCTCAGTTAGAAGAAAACTAGACAATTAAATGCCACCTTTTTTTTTGAGACAGTCTAACTTTGTCACCCTAACTAGAGTGCTGTGGCGTCACAGCCTCACAGCAACCTCAAACTCTTGGGCTCAAGCGATCCTCTTGCCTCAGCTTCCCAAGTAGCTAGGACTACAGGTGCCTGCCACAACATCCGGCTATTTTTTTAGAAATGGGATCTTGCACTTGCTCAGGCTGGTCTCGAACCAGTAGCTCAGGCAATCCACCTGCCTCAGCCTCCCAAGTTCTGAGATTACAGGTGTGAGCCACTGCGCCCGGCCTAAACTCCACCTTTTAAAGGGAGGAGTGTCAAAGAACTGGCTGACATTTAAAAGTGCCACAATGGGCCCTTCACTGAGGCAGACTGGAAAAGAGGCAGGGCATGTGTCCAGGAAGGTAGGTGGGGAGAAGTCACATTCACCAAGGGGGACAGTTGGAGGTGGCCCATTTATCAAAGGCAAGGAAGGGATTGTGAGAAGATCTTGAGTTTGTTTCTGGCATGGTGACTGGGAGACATTTATTGGTGACAGAAATGGAACATGGAACAGACTCCTGAAAGCAGTAGTCTGGAGCAGAAGGAGAGGCCAGGCTGGAGGTGTCAACTTGGGAGTCATTGTCACAGAGATGATGCCTGAGGCTCCAGGGCTGGAAGAGACCCCCAAGGTAAGAATGTGGAGGGATAAAGGAATGGCCAGGGCTGGGAGGAGGGCACCGCAGATGTGGTAGTGGCCCTCCCCACCACTGACCCTGCTGTCTGCACCCTAGGGGAACTCTGACTTTGGCAGGTGGTCAGTCCCTGTGCATCTCCCTGATCTAATTCCTGGACATTGTGACTGGTTCAGATGCCTGTGCATGAGGAAGTTCTGTGAGGGAGGTCTACTGGGAGAGGTCCCCACAGTCACCCAAGGAGACACATAGGAAGAGATGAAAGGTATGGGGCTGTGACAGCCATTCTGCAACCAAGAGGCAGGCTGGGAGAGGCAGAGCCACTCACAGAGGTGGTGGCTCCATTCCTGGGCACTCTTTCGACAGAAGTTGAGTCAGAAGTTTTGTTAGTTGAAGTCCAAATTGTCATAACTGATACCAGAGTGGAGATGTCAAAGGAGACCACAGAGGAGCCAGCAAGGGAAGAAATTTGTGTTTCCTGGATAGCAGCTCACGTATTCATTCAGTCCCCTGCTACCTGCCTCAACCAGGCTCTAAACATCTCTCACTTGCTAACTGGTTGAGCCCTAGAGCAGCTCTTGAGTTAGGTCACTATTATTATGCCAGTTTATAGATTGGGAAACTAAGGCACAGAGAAGTGAAGGAACCTACAGAAGATCACACAGCCAGGAAGTGCTAGCTGGGTATAAACTAGGCAGTCTGTTGTCTTTCCTTTGAGCTATACAGTGTGTGCAGAGGTTAATGGGAGAGGACCAAGCACGGGTCACCAGCCTAGGGCAGAAGGAGCCAGGGACGTGAGGTCAGAGCAGGATTGGCCTGAGTGAAGAGTGTGGAGGTGGAGAGCCCACCTGTGACAGCTGTTGGAAGCCAGTGAGGTGCGAGGTAGGTGGGGTGGAGGTGTTGAATTTCTTTTGGGAGAGGTGTACTCTGGGGCCGGTGGGAAAGCAGGAGGAGGGGCCTCGTACGAGGGTCGGAAAGGTTTCCCTGACTGAGGAAAGAGGGCTGAAAACTGGGGGCAACAGGCGGCCAGCGCAGTTTTTTGCCAGCTCTCACGTCCTCCAGGAGACTGAGACCCAGGCTGGGAAGCATCTGGCAGGTTCACGGCCAAGTCAGGTGGGATCGAGAGGTTGCCGGTGCTATTGGGCCCCAACTGAGGTTGGAATCCAGGAGTTTTGGGTGCGCGCCTCGGGTGGACTAGACGCACTCACCTCCACCGTGGGGACCCAGAGGGGACGAGCAATCAGCCCTGACCGAAGGAGAGGGACCAGGGGCTGGGCCAGGAGGCTCCTTCGCGCTCTGGGTCCGCTGCCAGGGTCCGAGTGTCCTCGGGGCGGCTGCCCCAACGGGGGTTGGGGGGAAGGGCTAACTGGCAAGCCGGGCGGGCGGCAGCCCTCCGCCTCTTCCCGGGGGATCGCTGGGTGGCCGCGTGCAGCGGGCCCTTGTCGGACAGGAGGGCGCAAGCGGGGGCGTAAGTCGCCCTCCCGCACAGCGGCCGGCCCCAGCGAGCCGAGGCGGAGCTGGCTTGCCTGCCGCCACAATCGGGGATTAGCGAGCTCTAGGCCGGCGCTGCGGGATTAGCCCGCGTGGACTCGGCACCCCGCCTGGGGATTACCGCGCTCCCCCCGACGTATATATTCCCGCGGTCGCAGCGGCCGGACCGGGCCGGGCATGGCGGCGGCGGGGGGCGCGGCTAGCCGCAGGGGTCCCGGGCGGCCCTGCGCCTTCTCCATCGACCACATCCTCTCCAGCCTGCCAGAGCGGAGTC